CAAAGACGGCTCCTCGCCACGACCGGCCGATCCCTTCTACCACACCCTTCGGGCCGCCCGATCGATGTACGGCGTCGGTCTCGGGTTTATGGCTCTCCGACATCTCACGCCCGCCATGCAGCAGACGATAGGGCTCCGATGGGAAGATGACGATGAGATGGCGGATTCGCTCGCGATACTGGATGCGGATATGACGCAGGCGATACAGAGCGGCAAGGAAGAACTTTTGCGAGAAAAGGGGGCCAGCGTCAATGAGGCGAGGGCGGTCGTGAAGGAGTTGCGTTTGCGGTTATCGGAGGCTTTGGCGAGCGTCAGGTCGTGGGGAGGCGAGTTCCCGTTTGAAAGGACCCAAGCAAGCTTAGAACACTGGAAACTCTAATCTTTCGCTTTCTCTCTCTCTTTGATTTATTTACAATATTGACTATACTAATTATTGTACGACCCCCCGTAGCTTTTTTTGTGGATTTGAAATCGAATGCTGTTTGTTTGCTGTGTGGCCGTTCCTGCTACTGGCAACATCGGGCCGCTGACCATGAGAAAGTTCGCAAGTCACGGATCACGTCCGGCCCAAGCCGGCTATTGTGACCGGAAGGAACGGAAAAAGCCAAATATGTTTCCGGCAAACACAGCGGTAGCCGAACCGACTGGCCCGTGAGAAGAGAGAAGGACGGGTTCCTGGAGTGGGAAAAAACTGACGGGTCCACTCTCTTCTAACTATCGCTCAGTCGTTTCCCGGTGTTTGTTGCGTTCGGAGACATCTGTTTGCGTCACTTATTACCCTTGGGGCTGCGCGCTTGCTGCGCCCTTCATCAATCAACGCTATAATAGTTGGGGTGGGGCGCCATGTGCGTGGCTATCCCCAGAGAACGGCGAAGAAACCTCTGGAAGCCCCTCTGGTATCACTCCCTACCCGGACCTTGTTTACGGAAACGTTCGTGGCGCGCGTTGATTGGCCGGCGTTTACAAGCAGCGCTCCTTGTTCCTGTTTCCCACTGTGCGGCGTGTGACGCTAGTACGACCAGACGCCCTAGTGTCTCGACCGAGCTCCCCGTCCTTTCTCTGCGAATGCGACCATAGGATCGTGTTGTAACCGGTGCTTTGACATGCCCGGGGGAGGGCAGCTATTCAAAACCGACAATCAGGTCCCCTCTTGGCGCGGTGGGTCACGGAGGCCGTTAATTTTCGGGATTCCAACAAAGCCCCGGCGTCATGTTGCCCAAGAACAGGTTTGCCCCTCGTAATTCGCCCGCCGACCTTTCAGATATCCGTTTTACACTTATCCGGATTTTGCTCGTCCCCCGGGAGCGTCTAAACTGACGTTTAGGGAGGGGTAAGGTGACTTCCACCGTACTGAGACTGCCACCCCAGGTTGGCGTCACGAACACCGTCAGCCGTACGGATGACCAACTCCCTCCCCCTTCTAGGATCGTCGTCTGCTGATCTCCCCGTTTAACCTTCTAGCTCGGAACTACGTTAACCGCACGGAGTTCCGAAGCCAGAGAACCCTCACACCCCATGGATACGGCGTCTTTGCTGACAACCGCCCGGTGTACTTGAAAAAGCCTGTGGGAGAGGGCGATTGGTGCGTCTGAACGAATCGAGTACGTTGTATTGTGTGGTGCCGCACAAAAACGGTTGTTCTAGATAGGAATTGCCCATGACTTCATACAACACAAAGTCGGAAAGCCGTTCAAACGAACGGAAATTGCTGTTTGGAGCGTTTTTTTGGACTGCACACGGGGATGCCTCGATGTCATCCCGGAAACCGTTCGAAACCCTCGTGGTTCAAGCTTGCCTCCTCCTCTCCCCCCGTGACCCATGGAGGAGGATGATTTCTGCGAGCGGGAAGTGATTGATCTACGGTTGAGAGAAACGCGGTTGAAAGGAAGCGAAGAACGAGAACGATCGTCGACCTGTCCGGTGAGCGGTGAGCGTGGGTCTTCTTCTCATGGACTCGGAGGCGCCGTGATCGAAAGTAACCAGGAGATTTCCGAAGATCAAGATCGGACATCCGAGATGGGCCACATCCTGTCATCCGATTTCAAAGGCTCGTCATCCGACTCTTGCTTATACAACACTCACTAAGTTTGAGGTTAAAGCACTTTGTTCGGTTCTCCCCCTTTTTCACCCGCGCTCCCCATACATTTCGCTCACGCGCGGCTGCTTTTCTACAGCCGTCCACGTTTCTTGACCGCATGACCTTTGTAACTTTCGAAGAACGGCTCAAGACCGGGGTCACGTTCACGCGGGCACTCATGACCTCCTTACGAATCACAATGAAACCCTTCACGTGTTTTAGGGATTCACATATAACTTGGGGTCCCAATGAAGATTCCCTCTTCCGATCCGTGACGTCATTATCGTCCCCGAGTTGAAGGGGCATGGTCACCTGTGCCATTGCTCATTTCGATTTTCGAACGAGAAGAGAGAGAGAGAGAGAGAGAGGTACGTATTTGACTTGCTGTTGTCCACGTTCGCCGGTGCCATAGAGAGGACTGAGATCGGATTTGACCGTTTGTTCGAGTGAAGGTTGGATACCCCAAGGATCCCACAACGACCGAGGGCCGCAGTCGCTTCAACAACGTTTTTTTCGTACGTGTACGCGCTTCAAGCTATAATTTGCGTTGGGCTTTTTTGTTGCCGTACACGTACGAAGGCTCGAGACTTTTTTTTTGATTTTACGAAAGGAGATCGTGTCAAACCAACTCGCGATCCCCCCACCCTTCTCGTGATGAGCGCTGGCTCGGATCATGAACATGACATGAACGGAACTCCTCTCCCCCCTCTCCCCCGAGTGCGGCTAGATGATGCCACCCCGAGAAGGTACGTATGAACAGTTTTCTCTTTTATCGAAAGGAGATAACCCCGACAGGCGCAGTACAGTTCTGTGTCAGCTTTCACCTCCCCCCCCTCCAAACCTGTTTCATCCCGCAGCCGCATCAAAACCATCGCACGATTGAATCTTTGCAGCGAAACCAAATATCATGGGGGCGCGTGTTTTGCGGCCTGATCACTTATCGTAGCTCCAACTAGCGTTGTTGGGAACTCCGTTTTACGGGGCGTTGTTTGGGGCTCGAGGGTCTATCGCGCGGTGCCACTTGGCAGCGCTGGAGATGAACTCACATGACGAGTCGAGGGTATGAAAAAGAGGTTTCGCTCCAATCCGAAAAGTCATTGGGTCGTGTACGTGGTGATTCATTGATCCAAGGAGCGGAATCGGTACCCCCCCTCACCCCTCATCCTCTAGCCCCCTACCCGCCAACCGCGCACCACGGCTTCGGGAAGCCAGGTCGCAACCCTCTTCCACTTCCAGAATGTACCGCTTAGGTTCCCGAGAAACCTATCACCTCCTTCCATCGCTCGTGCCACTTTCGCCGGGAACCATGACGTGAGGCGTGTTTTGATCCAACGAACGTGCCCACGCAAGGTGATCTGTAGCGAATTGAAACTCTTGGGGGGCCAGAACCCAAACTTTGCTTTGTTCTCGTAAGGGGCCGATCTACTTCGTTTCAGGATCCGTTGAACAGGGTTGCCCGCCCGAAACCCCTCCTTGCTCGTGTTATGCACACGATCTCACCGGCGCATGGCCGCGTGGTCTCGATCGTCGTGCTGGCGCGGGATCTTCGCTTTAGAACCCCTTGGACTTGAACGCCGATATCCAAATAGGAGCAAAAGGCTTAATTGGAGAGGTGGTCCAGGCTCCAGCACACAAGCACGTCAAATGGGGTGCCGCGCCCCCCTCTGAAACTTTCCTTCAGGATATGAAATCGGTTTTAGAAGAACGGGAAAACGAAACCCCCCTTCCCTATGGCACACAACCCAAAATCCGCACCCACGAAACCACGGCTTTTTTTTTGCCGAGCCAGAACCGATCCCCTTAACCTCCTATCGCGCCGACATTTGGTGTGCTTCGGGCGGGCCGGCTGGGATCCCTTCTGCTGATTTGGTTGGGGGTCGCCGAATCCTACTCGTGAGAGAACTTCAAGCTGTCACGGTTCCCCCTTCTCTATACACCTGTTATCCTCCCTCACTACTTCAGGGCTCTCCTTAGCAACGTCAGCGCACACTTAGAACGTCCTGCCGGGAGTTGTTCAGAGGACACAACGATCCTATCGATCGACTGCGCTTCTCCATATGGGCCAAAAAGTGCTCATATATCTAACGGAGAGACCGCACGTCCGGGAAGTCGTTGGTGCATCTAGCTTCGAGGTCGAACGGCATTCTTCCCATCAACCTTCACAGAGTACCAGGCATCAAGTTCCCCCAGGAAGGATCGTTCGACTGCTCGACCCCAGACCGGAAGTTCCCTCATTCCAAGGGAAATCCTACTACGACCATATATTTCACCAGATGTTTTTCTTTGCGGTACCCTGTCCGCCCGACGCCCCGAGAGTTTCACCTCGTATATCTGGGTACTCACGCCTCTCTCTCTCTCTCTCGGAAGTTATCGAAACCATTGGAATGTGGAGGGACTGATACGATTTACTTACGTTCTCTTCTCGCGGGAGAAGTGACCTTTCACTTTGCGCCGCGTGGGTCGAGGGTTTTAAACAATCTCAACTGTTCGAGCTGGTATTTCGGACGTTCTGAGGGCGGTCGTGAAATCAATTTCTAGGCACTGTGGAATTCCTCGGGATCAACGTTTCGAACGGGCCAACCTTGGCTCACTTCCTGTGAGTTCTGCACGAAATGAAGATCGTTGAACGCGATTGCTCGTCAGGCTGACGATTCAGCGTCACGACTTCCCGCGCCCGGACTAGTCAATGTCCCCAATTTATACACGATTCTCCGACCTGATTGAAGGATCGACGCCAACAGCGTGCCGTTGCGGAGCAAAGATCCAATGGTCATTTCGCGACAAACTGGTTTTGGGCGGTCAGAGGTGACCGACTGATAGACAACTCGTCTGACCGAAAAAATACCACCTCTCCTGGACGCCAGATATAGAAGGGCGCAAAAAAAAACGATCAAAAGTGTGGGTGCTCAGCGACGTCAAAAAAGGGCCTAGCCGGGAATTGAACCCGGGACCTCCTCCAGGTAGGCGCTTCGACGCCCTTCTGCTGGGGTGAACAAGCAGTCGGGATCAAACCCTAAGAAGGAATCATACTACTAGACCACCAGGCCGCTGAAACAGGTTTCCTGATCTGCATCCACGATCAACGATGTGCGAGACAGACTGTCACGGTAGCATCCTCAAACCACGCCAGAAACTTGATGCAATAATGGGCTGAGAAACCCTATAGGACGCCATCCAAGCAACATGGAGAGTGATGTTCGTCGCGCTGGAAATACCAACGCTGACTATCACCGCCTCTTTGTCGCAGCTTTGCCATGAGTGACTCACCTCCACTCGCCCACACACCGATACCGTTTTTCATGTACTATGTAGCCTAAAGCTCTGGGCATTCCCCCAAAAAAGTACTGTAAACGGAAAGGCGCTACCGGGAGTTGATCTCACGTTGGTCTTCGCATGCGCTACACAACTGTTCACAGAACCTGTACGGAGGGCCAGAACGGCTCGTGTACCCGTATCGGAGATCCAAGAAATCCTTCTCGAATTCGCCTTCGCCAACATCCAGATATTCGGAAGCCGTATCGGACAATGCAGCAGAGGGCCGGGCAAAAAGACCCACCGGGTGAGAGCTTAACCCAACCGATTCCACGCCTCAAGGATGGTGATGGGGGACGCCAGGTGACGAATAGGCGGGTGTGTGGGAGAAACGCCAAGCGTTCGGTGAGGGCAGCAGTCGTTACAGCGGGCGTCAGGTGCGTTCTGTGGTCGATTGCTCACTCCTGGAACTCGAGTCCGGGGCCCGAGGTGCGCCTTTCCAGCCGCAGATTGATTTCGTTTCGTGGTCGGCGAACGGTGGCCGTTCGCCGACCACCACACCAAAGAGACTTTTTCCATCCACGTGCCTCACAGGTCAAGCACATCCGATACTGGAGGGAAACGCATTCACGTAAACTTAAGCTACTGGTCGTGGATCAAAAAGATTACCGCCCCTTCGCGACGGAGAGAGAGAGTCGACGCCATCGGGCCGTCTAATGCAGTGTAAACCATCTGTTCCCTCGCAGGACCATTTTACTCCGCAGACCGTGGTGTGTGGCATGCAAGCGGGGAGGGGCGACAGGTGCGATTTCCAAAGAGAGAAGGTTCTGTTAAAAGCCTTGAAAGCCAGCCAAAACGAAAGTTCCATCCAGTGCACGAGGATGTTAGGGACACGGGCGTAGCCGTACGCAATCTCCCTATGTCGCCGAAAGAATTTCAACTTTCACGGAGATTTCGACGCTAGGGCCCGGGTATACCACATAGTTGGGGTAGCGATTGAGTTTTGGTGACGGAGTCCGTGCGTACGTGAGGCCTACGGAAATACAATGAAGCATGCACACAGGAGGGGTATTTCACGGCCAGCCTGGATAGAATACAGAGATACAGCCTTGAGAACCTGTCCAACCTTCCCACCCAATCTCCCGCAGATTACGCATTGAAATCACACCAAAAGCCTAGAGGGACTTCTCAACCATGCATTTATTACCATTATCGTGTTATAATCGCGTTGCGTGCGGGGGTTGTAATCCGTAATTAGCTGTGAGTAGTAACAGGAAAGAAGAGAAAAAAGCATCTACTAAGAATACTCTATATCGAAAGCAACTCTGTGAACGATTTTGAGGGGGAGTATATATAGGTATACTCTTCGAAAAAAACTAGACCAAGCCGTGGGAGCTGATTGGTCGTGATGAGAATTATATGGTAAGAAAGCAGGTTGTAGGAGACTTCTGTCAGAGAAAATGCAGTGAACAGTGAAGAGAGGGGGGTGCGTTGAGACCAGGAACGACGAAAGCGACCGAAGAGAGCAACCAGAGAGCACAAAGGAAGCAACGAACCGCGAAAAAGATGCGCCTACGAGAAGAAGTACAACGACTTCTTGACGGTGTTTACCTCGAAGTTACCCTTCTTTGGCACGGTTGGAAGCAGCTTTGTCAGCTCCACAAATTTGAGTTCATCGCCAAGACCCAAGGGATAACTAGCCTTCATCTCCTCCCTCGTCCTTCGCTTCTTCCTCTTGGAGACGGCTGGGCCAGTGTCGCCACTGCCCTCAGTTTCTGTTTTTGCTTCCGTAGGGGTGACCTCGCGCTCCTGGGGTTCATCTTCCTCAAGGTCTTCCTCCGAACCGAGGGCGAGGTCAAGTGCCTCCAAGAGGTCTTCGGTGGAAGTGTGAGGCCCAACCTCCTTTGGTTCCACCGAATCGCGTTGGGCGGCAGAGTTCAGGATCTCGTCCGATGTCGTGTGTTCACGGGCCGCGAGCTGCTTGACAAGCGTACCGGACTTGAGCCAAGCGATTGGGACTCGGTAGCCTTTGTATCGTTCCACGAACTACAGATAACTATTAAGTCGATCAGGATACATAGGTGGAAGCGGTTCGGCTGACCTCGTCGTGGAGCTTGCCCAAGATGTTGGACGAGTGAAGGGCGATAAAAGTATCACGAATGATGCCTGACATCTGGTCTACGCTACAGGCATGGGTCCAGTACGAGTCGTGGACAGATGCGAATGTCAACCCCTGGGTCTAAAGCGAACGAGTCAGATAAACTCTCGATGCTTCTCAACACAGATCTCTAACCTGGCACTCCAAGGCGGTCAACATCATGTGCGTTGCGTCCAAGCTGTGGATGAAGTTGGGAGGGAACGCCGAAGCTTGTTTTACCGAGTTCACCGTGGCAGGGGCATTGGGATCCGAGATATAGACGGTCTGGATGGACGTAGCGACCTGCTTCTTTTTAGCTCTCCTGTAAGGCTGAACGATAGGAAGTCCAAGAGGGGTAGTCCAAATGACTGAGGTCATCTGTTCATCTTTGGTGCTGTCCGTCGCGGAAGTCTTGCGCTTCTTCTGAGGAGCGGAGACCGCGGCAGGAATTCGAGCGGGCGGAATAGACTTCGAGATGAGCCGGGCACAGATATTGAGCCAAGTCTGGATTTCCTGAGCTCCGGAGAACAAGTTTCCAATGCACTCCATAACCTTCTTTGCCAAATACGAAGCAACGAGCCAGCACTCCTCTTCGGGGATGTCTTTCCTTTCCTTTAGCTGTTTCTCGATTTGATCCCTCGCACCAACGAAGGTGACACCGTATACGGTTGTCATGACAGTTTGTTTGACAACCTTTCGAGTGATCTTCCCTTCCAGCATCATCGCGAACCTGACCTGCTTCGCAGCGTCTGACTTTATTCTCTCCTGTACCATAGCTGCGACGTAGCTATAGACATCAGAGGGACGATCGGTAGCGCCAAGGTTGACTTGCTGTGCACCCTGGGAATCCCCTCCCAGGGCAGCGTAGTGCTGGAGCCCGTTGCACGTGCCATCTTGGTGGACGGGGAAGTTGGACTCGAACGCGAGGGGATCCGGGGATTCCAGAGCGGAACGGAGCTCCATGCAAGCGGCAAGACATTGCCAAGGATCTTCGGCCTTTTGCCACCATCGGTTTCCCTGGCAAAGGACAGCAATGAGCAGTCAGTCACGACAACTGTTCAACTGACTCACTTCAAGAGGACGTTCAGCACTATCGTAAATATCCGCCAAGTGGTCGTCGACAAATTGTGCCCGCTCGTCAAAGCTACCCTTGTCGAATCCGCACAAGTTCGCCAAATGAATCTTCAACCACCTTAAGCCACTTGCACCGAGAGGCTTGGCCTCGGCGAAAAGGAGGAGCCCACGAGAGAGATCGTCGCCAATGTGGTTCAGGTGCGGTGGGATAGGGTATGCTCGACCACGGAAATCCATGTTGTGGGGGAGGTAGATCTGATCACCCAAGAACTACGATCGATGCGTCAGTGACGGTGGAGTAGAAGAGGGGACTGAAGCGGCGTACAGCACGTGCGATCTCAACCTTGTAGTTCACGCTGCACCTACCCGAGTGGTTATTGGCCTTGCCCTGACTCCATGCCTTCTGCCTTGCCAGGTAAACCATCCTTGCTTTTGGATCTGCCTCATAGTTTTCCGGTTTCTCAGGTTCGGGAGCATCGTAGACCGCGGGAGGGATCTTGCACATCCTTTCACCAGAGTTCCACACCTTGAGGACTACATCGAAGACTTTTTGGTTGACTTGCCACGGGGTTGACCCGAGAACGTCCAAGCCAGCGTATACAAGTTCAAGATTGCCCTGGTCAGAGGCGTGTTTGAGGTAGCTCTGTTGTTCTTGGGATTCCTTGAAGCGCATTGCAGAACCTGGGAAGACGTGATTAGTACGAGTGGCCGAAAAGATGACTGGATCCATACTTTGGCTATAAAAGTAACCACCTTGATCATAGCTCAACCAAGGTTTAGGCTTTACTAGCATTGGCAGTTGACGGGGATGTAGAGTTTCTCTGAGACCATCCCGTGACATCCGTTCCGCGACTTCAGGGTTAAGCCTTACGACCCCAAGCTTGTGTCCTCGAAGGTACTCATACGAATGGAAAAACGCAGGCTGTTCCTCGTAACTGAATGAATAAATCGTCAGCGATGGCGGTAGAAGGAGTGTGGAGGTATAGGGGCACTCACACAATCTCTCCAGTTTGCTTGATGGTCGTACTCCTGACGACAGTCGCAACATCCATAAGGGCATCGACCAAGAAACTTCCCACCTTAACTCTCAGGATCTGGGTCCAAGTAGCGGCCCACTCCTCCGAATCTTCCATGAACTTCCTCGCTGCCACCCGCCTCGCGTGCAGATCCCTGTAACCAGACTTGGTGAAATAGCCAGGTCCTGTCTGTGGGTTGCTTGTGGGAATTGTGATGTTGTTGCGGCGGCATATCTCGGATTTGTGCTCCAATTCAATGGCCCTCCCGATGGTAAGAAGGGCTCGAGCGGTTTTCATTCCCTCCGACACGCCACCTGAGCCTTGGAGACGCATCAATTCGAGAATGGTGATAAGGGAGAGCTTATCCGGGGAAACAAGCGAAAGGAATGGCCCTAAACGACTGTTGGCCTTACTGTCGACTGGTGCGGTGCGTCTCATTCAGCGTTGTGTTTGTGATGTACGGAAACCAAGACTTACCGATCGCCTCCTCCTTCTTGACGACGTCAGCGATCTCGATCTTCAATCTCTTTTGTAACTTCTGGTGCCACTCCCACATCCAACTCTGTAG